CTTCAAAGTGGTACGCATGTTGTGTAAATCAAATGATACAAACCCCCAAAAGATCCATTTTAATTCCAGGTTGTAAGGCAACAAAATAGGAAAAATGCCAAGGGGGTGAATACTTTCGCAACACTGCTGGATTTTTCCCGATCAACAGTTTCCCGTGTGTATCAAGGATGGTCCACCACCCAAAGGACATCCAGCCAACTTGACACAACTGTGGGAAGCATTGGAGTCAACATGGGCCAGCATCCAAGTGGAACGCTATCGACACCTTGTAGAGTCCATGCCCTGACGAATTGAGGCTGTTCTGAGGGCAAAAGGGGGTGCAACTCGATATTATATATGTGTTGTACACTCAGTGTATACACATCCAGTTAGCCAAACTAAAGAGAATATAAACGCACAGCTAGCAGACAGCTTTCAGGCAGCAGTTTATATATATCTATATTTAAAAAATGCCTTTCAGTTTCATATTATCTTTTAGTATTATTCATGTGGACCCGAGAATAACCTGACATACTGCCTTCTCTTACTCTCCAGTCTTCTCAGCAGAGTGAGGAAGAAAAAAGGAATACAAAACACAGATGAAGAGTTAAAACAGAGAGAGAAAAGTCACACTGCAGTAGCACACAGTCAGTACATACTGCACTAGTCTGTGTGTGTTGTTTCCTGGGCTCGAACCAGGGACCCTCTGTCACTCCACAAAAGCCGCGGTCTTGCAGAGCAAAAGGGAAGGGAAACAACTATTTATACACTGAACAAAAATATAAATGTAACATGTTAAGTGTTGGTCCCAGTTTCATGAGCTGAAATAAAAGATCCCAGAAATCTCCATATGCACAAAAAGCTTATTTCTCTCAAATGATTAGCATTTTGTTTACAGCCCTGTTAGTGAGCATTTCTCCTTTGCCAAGATAATCCATCCACCTGACAGGTGTGGCATATCAAGAAGCTGATTAAATAGCATGATCATTACACAGGTCCACCTTGTGCTGAGGACAATAAAAGGCCACTCTAAAATGTACAGTTTTGTCACACAACACAGACCATGTGTAACCACGCCAGCCTAGGACCTCCACATCCGGCTTCTTCACCTGCGGGATTGTCTGAGACCAGCCACCGGGACAGCTGATGAAACTGTGGGTTTTCACAACCAAATAATTTCTGTGCAGACTGTCAGAAACCATCTCAGGGAAGCTCATCTGCGTGCTCGTTGTCCTCGCCTGGGTCTTGACCTATCTGCAGTTCGGCATTGTAACCAATTTCAGTGGGCAAATGCTCACCTTCAATGTCCACTGGCATGCTGGAGACGTGTGCTTTTCACGCATGAATCCCGATTTCAACTGTACCGGGCAGATGGCAGACAGTATGGCGTCGTGTGGGCGAGCGGTTTGTTGATGTCAATATTGTGAAAAGAGTGCCCCATGGTGTCGGTGTGGTTATGCTATGGGCAGGCATAAGCTAGGGACAACGAACACAATTGCATTTTATCGATGGCAATTTGAATGCTCAGAGATATCGTAAAGAGATCCTGAGGCCCATTGTCGTGCCATTCATCCGCACCATCACCTCATGTTTCAGCATGATAATGCACGGCCCGATGTCGCAAGGATCTGTACACTATTCCTTAAAGCTGAAAATGTCCCAGTTCTTCCATGGGACATGCCACCCATTAAGCATGTTTGGGATGCTCTGGATCAACGTATACGTTTATATTTTTTGTTCAGTGTAGGTCTCAGAGCAGGTGATGTCACGATTGAACGCTACTAGCACGCACCACTGACTAGCTAGCCATTTCACATCAGCTACATGTGTGCAGTGGGGAAAAAAGTATTTAGTCAGCCACCAATTGTGCAAGTTCTCCCACTTAAAAAGATGAGAGAGGCCTGTAATTTTCATCATAGGTATACGTCAACTATGACAGACAAAATGAGAAAAAAATATCCAGAAAATCACATTGTAGGATTTTTTATGAATTTATTTGCAAATTATGGTGGAAAATAAGTATTTGGTCAATAACAAAAGTTTCTCAATACTTTGTTGTATACCCTTTGTTGGCAATGACACTGGTCAAACGTTTTCTGTAAGTCTTCGCAAGGTTTTCACACACTGTTGCTGGTATTTTGGCCCATTCCTCCATGCAGATCTCCTCTAGAGCAGTGATGTTTTGGGGCTGTCGCTGGGCAACACGGACTTTCAACTCCCTCCAAAGATTATCTATGGGGTTGAGATCTGGAGACTGGCTAGGCCACTCCAGGACCTTGAAATGCTTCTTACGAAGCCACTCCTTCGTTGCCCGGGCGGTGTGTTTGGGATCATTGTCATGCTGAAAGACCCAGCCACGTTTCATCTTCAATGCCCTTGCTGATGGAAGGAGGTTTTCACTCAAAATCTCACGATACATGGCCCCATTCATTCTTTCCTTTACACGGATCAGTCGTCCTGGTCCCTTGGCAGAAAAACAGCCCCAAAGCATGATGTTTCCACCCCCATGCTTCACAGTAGGTATGGTGTTCTTTGGATGCAACTCAGCATTCTTTGTCCTCCAAACACGACGAGTTGAGTTTTTACCAAAAAGTTATATTTTGGTTTCATCTGACCATATGACATTCTCCCAATCCTCTTCTGGATCATCCAAATGCGCTCTAGCAAACTTCAGATGGGCCTGGACATGTACTGGCTTAAGCAGGGGGACACGTCTGGCACTGCAGGATTTGAGTCCCTGGCGGCGTAGTGTGTTACTGATGGTAGGCTTTGTTACTTTGGTCCCAGCTCTCTGCAGGTCATTCATTAGGTCCCCCCGTGTGGTTCTGGGATTTTTGCTCACCGTTCTTGTGATCATTTTGACCCCACGGGGTGAGATCTGGCGTGGAGCCCCAGATCGAGGGAGATTATCAGTGGTCTTGTATGTCTTCCATTTCCTAATAATTGCTCCCACAGTTGATTTCTTCAAACCAAGCTGCTTACCTATTGCAGATTTAGTCTTCCCAGCCTGGTGCATGTCTATAATTTTGTTTCTGGTGTCCTTTGACAGCTCTTTGGTCTTGGCCATAGTGGAGTTTGGAGTGTGACTGTTTGAGGTTGTGGACAGGTGTCTTTTATACTGATAACAAGTTCAAACAGGTGCCATTAATACAGGTAACGAGTGGAGGACAGAGGAGCCTCTTAAAGAAGAAGTTACAGGTCTGTGAGAGCCAGAAATCTTGCTTGTTTGTAGGTGACCAAATACTTATTTTCCACCATAATTTGCAAATAAATTCATAAAAAATCCTACAATGTGATTTTCTGGATTTTTTTTCTTCTCAATTTGTCTGTCATAGTTGATGTGTACCTATGATGAAAATTACAGGCCTCTCTCATCTTTTTAAGTGGGAGAACTTGCACAATTGGTGGCTGACTAAATACTTTTTCCCCCCACTGTATGTGTGTGTATATGTGTGTCAGAGAGAAGACTCGTACTGCAGTAGTTCGTAGAGCAGAGGTCTGTCCCTGTATCGTATGCCTGCGGCTGCAGGTGTCAGGTACTGCAGTAGGTTGATGGTTCTTCGCAGCCGTCTGTCCACGTAGTGAGCATCCCAGGCCGGGTAACGTTTCCTGGGCATGTCAATCTTTATCAGAGGACCCTCGAAACGAAGTGAGGTGGGGGGCTCCGAACGCACCTGGAACACCGGACTTTCAACTCCCTCCAAAGATTATCTATGGGGTTGAGATCTGGAGACTGGCTAGGCCACTCCAGGACCTTGAAATGCTTCTTACGAAGCCACTCCTTCGTTGCCCGGGCGGTGTGTTTGGGATCATTGTCATGCTGAAAGACCCAGCCACGTTTCATCTTCAATGCCCTTGCTGATAGAAGGAGGTTTTCACTCAAAATCTCACGATACATGGCCCCATTCATTCTTTCCTTTACACGGATCAGTCGTCCTGGTCCCTTGGCAGAAAAACAGCCCCAAAGCATGATGTTTCCACCCCCATGCTTCACAGTAGGTATGGTGTTCTTTGGATGCAACTCAGCATTCTTTGTCCTCCAAACACGACGAGTTGAGTTTTTACCAAAAAGTTATATTTTGGTTTCATCTGACCATATGACATTCTCCCAATCCTCTTCTGGATCATCCAAATGCGCTCTAGCAAACTTCAGATGGGCCTGGACATGTACTGGCTTAAGCAGGGGGACACGTCTGGCACTGCAGGATTTGAGTCCCTGGCGGCGTAGTGTGTTACTGATGGTAGGCTTTGTTACTTTGGTCCCAGCTCTCTGCAGGTCATTCATTAGGTCCCCCCGTGTGGTTCTGGGATTTTTGCTCACCGTTCTTGTGATCATTTTGACCCCACGGGGTGAGATCTGGCGTGGAGCCCCAGATCGAGGGAGATTATCAGTGGTCTTGTATGTCTTCCATTTCCTAATAATTGCTCCCACAGTTGATTTCTTCAAACCAAGCTGCTTACCTATTGCAGATTTAGTCTTCCCAGCCTGGTGCATGTCTATAATTTTGTTTCTGGTGTCCTTTGACAGCTCTTTGGTCTTGGCCATAGTGGAGTTTGGAGTGTGACTGTTTGAGGTTGTGGACAGGTGTCTTTTATACTGATAACAAGTTCAAACAGGTGCCATTAATACAGGTAACGAGTGGAGGACAGAGGAGCCTCTTAAAGAAGAAGTTACAGATCTGTGAGAGCCAGAAATCTTGCTTGTTTGTAGGTGACCAAATACTTATTTTCCACCATAATTTGCAAATAAATTCATAAAAAATCCTACAATGTGATTTTCTGGATTTCTTTTCTTCTCAATTTGTCTGTCATAGTTGATGTGTACCTATGATGAAAATTACAGGCCTCTCTCATCTTTTTAAGTGGGAGAACTTGCACAATTGGTGGCTGACTAAATACTTTTTCCCCCCACTGTATGTGTGTGTATATGTGTGTCAGAGAGAAGACTCGTACTGCAGTAGTTCGTAGAGCAGAGGTCTGTCCCTGTATCGTATGCCTGCGGCTGCAGGTGTCAGGTACTGCAGTAGGTTGATGGTTCTTCGCAGCCGTCTGTCCACGTAGTGAGCATCCCAGGCCGGGTAACGTTTCCTGGGCATGTCAATCTTTATCAGAGGACCCTCGAAACGACGTGAGGTGGGGGGCTCCGAACGCACCTGGAACACCGGCAGACAGCTGTCTGCGATGACGTCATCACTGTGGGAAGGGGTGGCCAGGTGGGCTGGGGTGGGCGGGGCGGATGGGGGCAGGGGGTTACCCCACAGCAGCTCGTCACAGCAGGTTGAGGCCAAGGTGGGGTGTGTGTGTGAGGGGTGGAGAAGGCTGTAGTATAGAAGCATCACCAGTACTCCACCCGCAAAGGACAGGTAAACACCACACAACGCTGGTACCGCGTAGTTGTCTGTCTCTGCATGGTCACGATACACATACCTGTAACACACACACACGCAACTATTATGATATGCACGCACAAACATTTGTCTCTGCACAATCATGATAGATACATCTATTACAAGATAAAACACATTGGTGTGTCTGTCTGTCTGTCTACATACCACAGTCCGGTGAGAAGTGTATTCTCAGCCAGTACCACAGAGTAGTAAGCAACCATGCGTCCCCTGGTGTGTCCCTCCTTGACGTTGAACCAACAGAAGATGTAGACGATGCCCACCACCATGTTAAACAGCACCTCCTCCCAGCGAGACATACAGAAGTCTGTTCCTCCATGCACCACCCACAGCGCCATGCCACACCAGTGGAGCACCACAAAGATGCCAAAGTACAGGTGGAAGAGGGAGGCGAAGAGGGCGAGAGAGAGAACGCGGGAGGAGATGGTGAAAAGGCGCCAGAGAAGGTGGAGAAGGGCACCGCGGTAACTCAGACTACGCTGGTCATCCCTGGAGTCACGCAGGAGCTTGTGGTACGAAGCCAACACCCAGGATAGAGACAGAAGAGAGCCTAGACTAGATATACCTAGAGAGAGAGGGATTGATTCTCATCTTGATAATACTAGTTGACGAGTGAGTGTGTGTGATATGTGTACCGTGTGTGAACTGTATGTGTATACGTACACTGTAGAGTTTCAGCACGGTTCTGCTGTATCATAATGCAGAGCTGTAGTACTAGTTGAGGAGCTGACTCCAGGAAGGTCTCCAGTAGCCTCAGCATGTTGACGTCTGCGTACTCAAACATCATGGCCCAGTAGAACCTCCTCTGAGCCTCCTTATGCTCCTTCATTCGGTGGGACTGGATACCCAGGTATAACGTACGGATATACCTGGGGGTCAGAGGTTGGAGGTGAGAGGTCAATCATCATGCCCCCTGTAATACCTCCATCATGGCCCAGTGAGAGATAGAACCTGTTTGAATGAATAAGATCAATTACTGAGTGCCCCAGGCTGTGTGTGTGTGTGTGTGTTTGTGTGTGCATGTGCATAGACCTGCTTATACAACCATCTGGGCTGCATCATATGAGCAACTGTCATATGACATCAATAATTCACTGGCCACTTAGAAACACACACATGCATGCGCACACAGGCAGACACACACATTTTACCAGAGAAAATGGAAAAATGCCACATCACTACAGAGGAAGAAGAGAGAGAACCTAATTGATTTGAGTTTCATTTGCGTAAAAATTGTATGTTGTTATCCATCCTTTCACTCTCTCGCTCTCTCTCTCCTTCCCCTCCCCCCTTCACTACTGTTATGCGTGTTCAAGCTCTTTTTTCTCTCCCTTCTACTCCCTCCCTCCATCTCACAGTGATCTATCTCAATCAGACTGAACCATTCCACACACATACACCACTCTTTGGGACAGGCCACTCCATTAGGGGAAGTGTTACACATGGGCACACATGCAGACACACACCACTGGGGAGGGACAGGGTTGTTCTTTTCACTGTGAGCCTTTATAAAAACATGCAAGAAACCACATGACCTGGTGTGTGTGTGTCAAACAGTCATACAGGAGTCATACAGTCAGTCAGGCGCCCCAGCCCACCTTGTATTTGAATGCTCAGTGCATTACTAGTCAAACATGGACGGTCCAAACGCTCCTCAGAGGACTCTCATTTAGGAGAGGGGGGGGGGGGGGGGGGGGGGGGGGGGCTTTGACCATTGGTGTTCAGTCAGGATTTTTTGATGTAGTGTTTTTCTAGGGTGTAGCGCAAACGCAAGAGAAAATGAAAATCGATTGATTAAACTGTTTTTACCTAACGGTGGGAAAATCAGCTTTATTCAGGTCAGTGCAGCTTCTGCCCATGTTCTGCACACGTGCCCTTTGTTGCTAATATGGCCATTTGGTCAAGTGGATGGTTCGAGTAGCCTTGCTAATGCTACTTACTGTAGTTTTTTGTAGATTCAGTGTTGCCTGTTGTAGAGCTGTGCATGGTGTGTGTGTGTCTGTAAAATGTGTCCTACCTTATCAGGACCAGAATGTCCTGACAAGTCCCCAGATTATTTTTTCACTCACACAAAAGCAAAGCTATTCATTTCTCATATATTGTCTAAGGAAGGTAAACCGCAAACACAGATGCATGCAGCCAAACTCACATAAAGTATGTGGTCTATTGCATGGACCTCATTAGACAGTAGAGAAAGAGAGAGGAGGAGAGAACAGGGTGACATGCTCTGTCCTTACCTCCAGACCTGTCCCAGCTGTAGAATGTGTATGGTGATCTGCCACAGCCACACTGAGGCCGCTCTAACCCGGTCTGTCCAAGGATAAACCCATCTTTGGTCGGCTGGCCCTCGCCTGGTCAGCTTTTCTCTCTCTCCTCCCTTGCTGCAGTCCACCGTCCCCAGCCAGGTGGTCAGACACTCTCCGCTGTAGTCCTGGATGAACCAGCGGAAGCTCAGGATCTGAACCACTATCGACGGCACCAGCACAAGGAAAAGCGTCAGGCCAAACCACAGATAGTCCTGTCTGGTATAGTAGTCTGCAGCGAGAAGTAGGTCCGTTCCCACGTCCCAGAAGAAGACGAGGAGAGCCAGGATCAGCCAGAAACAGTCCAGCCACAGGCCCTCCTCTGGCGGGCAGCGAGTCTCTCTTAAACCGCTACCCCCGCCAACTCCGGTCCCTCCGATCCCTCTATAATAATAATGATCATAGTAATAATGGCAAAAGGGTAAAAATGAGAATAGCCGAGACAATTATCATACTACACACACACACATGCACGCACGCACACTTACCCAGTAGTGTTCTCCCCCAGCAGGTTTCCCAGGCAGTTGGAGCGACAGCCCCAATAGCAGACAGCAGAATGGCAACAGAGACAGATGTGGATGGCTGCGGAGTCCAGAGGCTGACAGTCTCCCTCCGTGTCTCCATCAAACCCCCCCTCCTCCACACCCTCCCCCGTTCCTCCCCATCCCCCTCCATCAGACTGAGCGGCCATGTTACTCCTGTTCCTCTCGTCCCGAACCAAAACACACCCTCCTCCTCTGATCCCACGTCACTTTCCAAATACCACCTGTCCCTCCCCTGCCGCTTTGTTTCTGTCTCTGACTCTCCCGGGGAGCGAGGAGCCATCAGAGCCTGTCACTGCACGACGGCCTCCTCTCCCTCCCTCCTCCCCCTCCTCCACTCTAGGAAACACTCTATCCCCTCTCATACCAGGTGCTCCTCGCGACCAGCGGCAGCGGTGGAATCCGTTCCTGTTCCTCTCCTCCTCCAGCCTCTCTTCATCCCCCTCTCTCTCTCTCCCTCTGCATCTCCTGCCTGGCTGACTCACCACGGTCATCTAGGGAGACAGTGGCTTGTTATGAGGTAATGCAGCATCTTCCGGCTAACAGACCTGTGTGTGTGGGTGTGTGTGTGGGTGTGTGTGATGAGAAGTGATTGTGTGAAAAGCCAATGAATTAATCCTCATCCATGTGGAGCTGTGGTAGCAATTCAGCCTTCCCCCACCTGCCTCTCTGCCTGTCTGTCCGTACGCTTCATTCCACTGATCCACACATACACACACCACAGCAGCCTATGAACTGTCCACTCCTCCCCGCTGATGAGCCCTCTGCGCTGCTACACTCAACACATACTCACACACACTCTGCCTCCTAGTGGTAAGACTAGATACAACATCTGCACATCTATATACACATTCTCTCCCAACCCCTCTCTCTCCTCTCCCTCAAAAGGCTTCTGGCCAACAGCTCAGCCAGCCTAATCACCCAGAACATATGTGTGTGTGTGTGTGTGTGTGTGTGAGCCCGGCCAGAGGGGAGAATAGATGGAGAGATGGAGCGAGAGGAGGTAGATAGGGGTGGGAGTTGGGAGAGAGAGTAAGGGGGTAGAGGAGGAGCAAATATAAGGATTTAAGAAGAGAGGGATGGTGGAGGGATGAAGCACAAACCAGCCTCCTCAATCTTTCACTTTCTGCCTCTCTCTTTCTGTGTCTACTGGAGAATAGCATCTCTGTTGCCATGACTACCATCCCAGTGTGGCTGAAGGGGAGTGTGGTAATTTGGTGTCTGTGAAGGAGAGAGGAAGGGAGAGAGTGGGAGAGGTAATTGGTTCTCCCTGTTTTTCCTAATGTGTATCAGATACAAACCACACTAGTCTATTGGCTACAGGGACACTTATGCAATATCGATATTTGCATATTTCATAATGCCAACAAAACACTATATCAAATCGGACTGAGGGAGAGAGGAAGATGTACTCACTTGAGAAGAACATAATGATTGGTCTTTAGAAGCGGGATTGTATGTGATTTTATTTGATGTGACTCATGGTGCTCTGCTATGAATTTTAGTCCTGTGTTTCTGAATGCAGACATCTAGGCTGGGTTTCCCAAATTCAACAGTTCTTTACAGTACATCTTTGGTTCCTAAAGTGTAATATTAGCAACCAGTGTTTCAAATAACACCAACTTGTCATCAAGCTTATGAAAATATCTGGAAACGGTGCCCCAGAATAAAACAAATGCATCAGGATTGACAGAGCGTTTAAATATTGTTTATATATACTTTATTACCAATAAAAATTGTTTGTTTTCATCGTTTGTGTGTGTAACCCGGACCTCTTGCCCAGACCCTCTCACCTCCTTTTGGGTTTGGCTGTGTGTGTGGCCCCAGCGGGGTCACTGGTGTGTGTGAGGTCAGGGTGTGTGTGTGAGTTCAGGATGCGTGTGTAAGGTGTGTCCCTAACAGTATACTGCACTAGGTATGCCACCTCCTGGAGAAACAATACACAGTAGTGGTGATGGTGTGTGTGTGTGTGTCTCTGTGTGTTTGTGGTGTGTACCTGTCTGTCCAGTCTGTGGTCCTGGGGTGTGTCCAGTCTAACCTCTGACCCCTGTGGCCCCTCCTCCTCTCTAAGCCTCCGGAGCTCCTCCCTCTTCTGTTGCTCGGCAATCTACTAAACTATATAAACGTAATTGTTTTAAGAAGGTCATACAAAGGATCATTTAGCTATTTGATTTTGAATTTTAATATAATATAATTTAAAATATATATACAGTACCAGTCAAAGGTTTGGACACACCTACTCATTCAAGAGTTTTTCTTTATTTTTTACTATTTTCTACATTGTAGAATAATAGTGAAAATATAAATGTAAATGTAATATCAAAACTATGACATAACACATATGGAATCATGTAGTAACCAAAAAAGTGTTAAACAAATCAGAATATATTTTATATTTGAGATTCTTTAAAGTAGCCACCCTTTGCCTTGATGACAGCTTTGCACACTCTTGGCATTCTCTCAACCAGCTTCACCTGGAATGCTTTTCCAACTGTCTTGAAGGAGTTCCCACATATGCTGAGCACATGTTGGCTGCTTTTCCTTCACTCTGCGGTCCAACTCATCCCAAACCATCTCAATTGGGTTGAGGTCAGGTGATTGATATCTCTAGCTTAAATTGATGGATTTTTATGGGGATTCCCAGTTTCCCTACATAAGACAAGACTCTTGTTGGCGGCAAAAGGTAGGATATGGTTATGTACGTTTAATAATCATAGACGGCGTTGTCTAATGGATAAGGCCTCTGAAGATCCAGAAACTTTGTGGTCTTTATATCTACTTATTTAGACAAAAATCCCTACATAAGACATGCCCTTTTTTGCAAGGTAGTAAGTACAATGTCATATAGGATATATAGGAGTAGACCGTGTGGCCTAATGGATAAGGCATTTGACTTTGACTTCTAAGATTGAGGGATAGAGTCCCTTCGTGGTCGTTTAATTTCACTAGCTTTACTTATTTAGACTGGTCCAAATTTCAGTACTTAAGACATGACTCTTGTTGCCGGGAAAAGGTAGGAACTTGTCATGTATGTTTAATAATAACAGACTGCATGGCCTAATGGATAAGTCGTCTGATTCTGCATCAGAAGTTTGAGGGAGAGTGTCCCTTCGTAGTTGTTAAATATCACTAGCTTTCCTCATTCAGACAGGTTCCCAATTTCCCTACATAAGACGTGTTTCTTGTTGCTGGGAAAAGGTAGTGTATTGTTATGTAGGTTTAATAATCACAAGACACAGAGATGATGGCGGACTGAAGATGACGGTGCAGAATGCCACGTGAAAAAGCTTCGAAATTAATGTCCCTAAAAGTGACCAAATAATTGTACTTTTACGCTGATCTGCTCACTCGTGGGCAACAACATCCAAAATGAATAATAACTCAAAACAACTTGTAAGGCTAGAGAATTTTATAGACAAACACTACCAACGCAGTCATAACAAAAACATGGCGGAGAGTAAACACGGAAAGAATGGAGAACCAAACTCTAAAAGAAAACTAAGAGACTCTTCTACTGACAAGGATGACCTATTTTCACCACCCTGTACGGTAAGCGTGGAAACCGAACTGCTAAAATCTATAAATGCTAAATTAGGCGTGCTTGAGTTAGTCAAGAGATGAAGGCGAGCCTTGAAATGAGTAATGAGAAAGCCGTGACACCGGAAAAAGTAACTAAAAAGCTGAAGGGTACAATCAATGTTATCGAAGCTTACGCTAATGAACTTAAAAGAGAGAACAAGTTGTTCAGATAATCCTTACTTGATATACAGACTAGATCAATGCATGAAAATCTGATGCTTACCTGAATTAAAGAGGATTAAGGTGAAGATCCAGAGAGTGTAGTGAAAGAATTCATGATTAAAGCGCTGCAGATCCCAGGCGAAACTGTTGCCCAAATTAAACTCGAACACATACATCGTTTCGGAGAGCGTTACTAGCGTCCAATCGTTGCCAAATTTGCAACCTTTAAAGATAAAATAATTAGTATTCAATTTTTTTATGTATAGTATTTCTAAATAGATAAAATATAGGCCAATTCATTGTCACGGATTCTGCCGAGGCTGCTCCTCCTCCTTGCTCGGGCAGGCTTCGGCGTTCGCCGTCCCCGGAGTACTAGCTACCACCGTTAGATGTTTCAGTGTTTGATTGCTTTTGTCTGTCTATTGCACCTGTGTCCGTTTGTGTCTGATTATGTGTCCTATAAGTTGCCTGTTTTGTGTTGGTTAGTTTGTGTGTTGTTATTCGCCTGTCCGTTAGTGCTGCGTGTTTTCTCTGTTTGTTGTTTTTGTAGTTTACGCAGAGTTTGCGTAATCGCTCGCCTCTGGTTTATGTTGAGGCCGTTGATTTGTATTGTGCCTTGTGTTGCACTAGTAAACTTTGTTGGACTAAGCTTCGGTGTCCTGCGCCTGACTCCCACACCACATTCACCTCAGCCATTGACAGAACAACACACCATATGGAGTCAGCAGGAGCAGCGGCGGCACCCAAGTCGCTGTAGGATCGGATCAGCGACCAAGACGCCATGATCCGGCAACTTGGGGCCGCCATGAACGAGGTGTCCAACACTCTGCGCCGGTTGGTTACGGGAGAGGTGCCCACGCCTTCGCACACCTTACCATCACCATCGGCCAGTCCTCCTCTCCCAGCACCGGAACCCAGTGGCATTCGGCTCTCGCTCCCGAGGGCATATGATGGTTCTGCAGCCGGGTGTCAGGGGTTCCTCCTGCAGGTGGAACTCTACCTGGCCACCATACACCCGGCGCCCTCGGGATACGAGAGCGTCTCCGCCCTCATCTCCTGTCTATCCGGCAAGGCGTTGGAGTGGGCCAACGACGAATGGAGGGGAATAGACGCCGCCACCATCACCTACGCGGAGTTCTCCCGCCGCTTCAGGGCTGTGTTCGATCATCCACCTGAGGGGAAGGCGGCGGGGGAGCGTCTGTTCCACCTCCGACAGGGGAAGAGGAGTGCACAGGAGTTCGCCCTGGAGTTCCGGACTCTAGCGGCGGATGCGGGGTGGAATGAGAGGGCCCTCATCGACCATTACCGGTGTAGTCTACGAGAGGACGTTCGTCGTGAGCTGGCCTGCAGGGACACCAACCTATCCTTCGACCAGTTGGTGGACATTTCCATCCGTCTCGACACCCTG